GCAGCTTGGTCAGCCCTTGCACAGAAAGAAATGTACTGATGGGCACTGTGAAAAAAAAGGCACAAGTGGTTGGTGTCTGACAGGAAGAACAGCCCTGGCGATGGCTGCAGCAGCTGCCATAAGGCTCAGATGTTGACTTGAGCCTCCGGAAAGATCTCCCTTGCTGTACAAGATGCTTTGGCTGATCTGGATCTCAATGCAGAGAGAAAAAACACATCTGGCAATTTCAGACTTCTGGTGGTGCCCATCTAAGAGTGTGATCTACATGAGCTTGAAGTCTTAGTGGGAAAAAACAAAAAGTAGCATTAAAAGGTTAAAAAATTGGAATTGCAAGGCTCTTCAGAAATCAAGTCCTGAATGAACACCTTCTGCATATCCTTGGAGCTAACAGAAGTGGAGCTGGAGGGGATGAAAGAAATACAAAAGCATGAGTAATTGGAATAAGTAAACACTGACTAGTTCATTTTTCCTGGTGTTTGCTTTAGTCAGATTTGTGCATATAGAAAAGTGACGTGGGACTGAGCTCACTCATTCCACCCTCACACTTCAGCACATGGAGTTTGCTAATCTAATCTGGAAGCTTATCCTAAAATAAAACAAGTGAAACCAAGAGAGTATCAGAAAAGGGAAATAACAAACGAGTTCACAAAGCACGATTTCTGTAACAGCTTGCCCTAAAAGCTGAACCTACCAGCAAGATTCCCAGGGAATCTTTTCAGCTCAGGGCTCTGCAACTGCACTCAAAGAGAAAACAAAACGTGGGCAGGAGATTAGGAATCTACCAGCAACCAAATGCATGTGGCATAAAGTACGCTTAATTCTGGACTGCTCTCCTCTTTTGCTGGAGAACAATCTTACCTCCCTCGGCCAGGTGAAATGTACATACCAATAATGTTTAGAAAACATTACACATGCGTTGATTTTGCATAAGCTGCTGTGCACTGCAAGAGGGTCTGTAGATTGCAAAGCTCCCCCAAACTGTGTAAGGAGGAGCAGAAAACTGCTTCCTGCTGAAATAAAGCCCTTCAGAACAGCTAGTTAATAACTAACCGCAAGATGCATGGTAGGTTAGTACAGGAAATAAGCTCATTCTCCGTGGAAGAGCAGGGGGACATGAAGTAAACAGATTGATGTCATTGGATTTTGGCCCAAATGCTCACACTCTACAGGCATGCTGACCACTGGGTTTTTCGCTGGCACGGCTCACTGCCACTTGTCCTCTGTTAGCCCAAACCACCACTCCTCTACCAGGGCCGTGTGTTCATGGCAAGGTCTGAACAAGAGAAGCAAATCCTGCTGCCCGCAGAGCCACTTCCTGCAGCACGCGGCTGCAGCTTGCATAGCTTCTGGCAGCCAAACAGGTTGCAACAGAGACGACAAGGACTGAGTGAACGTGTGCTCCTGATAAAAAATGTCCATCTGCGAAAGCAACTCTTGTAGACAGATGAGAGGATCTGTGGCAGTGCTTCTGTCAGCAGGAGGGCCCAGCCTGCTCATAATGTAGACATTGCTGCACCAGCGTGGAAGTTGTAGCCGCAATGAATTTCATCTCTCTTTCACAGCAAAGCACACCCTCTTAAAATATATTAGGGTTTTTAATCCTTTGGTGAATTTATAGTACTTCTATGCTCTTTTCTGTTCTGAAATCTCAATTGTCCTTGTCTGTGGTAACTCCAAAACTCATTGCACTACCCCATTTTCTTTCCTAGCTATCGCCTCTTCACTTCGGCATCAAGTCCCGCTATAGGAGCCTCTCTCATAAATATTTTACTTGGTCGTGACTAATGCAACCTCTCTACCCTAGCAACCAGGTATGCCTGGGGTTTTGCAGTTTGAAAACAGAGCATTGTTGTCATACAACAGCCTACACTCTCCAGAGATAATACAGAACACTTCAAAAACTACTTTGACATTAATTTGCCACATTTGTGCATTTTCTGGATCATCTTTTCTACAAACTGAGCCACAGCTTTGGATTCTGAGAAATCTGTTTTGTGCTAGAAATCAACAGGTTTTCTAACATAACCTCATATAGCTGCAGACGAGGACTCACAGAGCTCATTTCAATAGTTTCTTTCTTCCTCAAAGTTAGACATTCGTTAATTGTTTGACAACCTTCTGCTGTTGGCAGAAGAACTTCCCTGTGGATCAATGTAAGATAACACATGCATGGGAAAGTAATCCAAACCAAAGCTCCTCGATGCTGAACCTGGAAGTAGCTATCACAGCCCACGGAAGAGATCCTGAAGTCACTGTTGACAGTAGTCTGAGATCATCAGCTGAACGTGGGTCAACAGGCAAAAAAAGCCAACAAAGTGTTGGGCAACATCAGAAAGAGTGCTGAGAAAGACAAAAGGCATCATTTGGCTGCTTTGTATCGCCTTGGCGTGCCACGTACCAAGTCCAGCTTGTGCACTTGGTCTCTCACAGGAAATGGGAACACACCTTTGATTAATCAGTGCAGATGTTAGAATTAAACCATGATTTGTGATGAGCCTGAATTGGTGAAACATGTTTTTGCTGCCTCCAACCCCAGAAAACAGCAATGAAAGAGATGTAACATAGACATCCTGGGGCAACAAGTTCCACTTCCTTCTGAAATAGTGGCATTAACTCATGTCTTTAGCACTATCTCCTGCTCTCATGGATTACAGGTAGCTAAAGATTACCCCTTTTGCCTTTCTAAACAAATACTTTACAAGTACAGCCTTGTATCTCTATCAGGCTGTTGCTCAGGTTTTACAAATGCATGATGGCATTTTACCAGTCGCATCCTCACGCTTTAGGATAACCTCAGTACTGGATTTAAGATGACTAACATGCCAAGAAGTTTAATTCAAGTGCATCTATTTCCTTCCCTAGAGGCTAGTTACATTGCTTCCATCTGCAGTAAAACTGAACACATCTTTATTGACTACACCCACTGCCAACCTGCATTTAAAAAAAAAAAACCCTCTTCTATTAAACAGTATTTTGCTCCTTTGGTTTGTCAACAGATTTCAACCCTTACAAAGTCATTTAACCTGCACAGACGCTGGAGCCAAGAAGGGATTGAAAGATCATGACCACGCTGTTGGAAAAGAGCAACCAGAGATTTAATCATTACTGAAGTGTAAGCCTGCTCTGGCCATTGTCTAGAGCAGGAGCGCCAGCTGCGATCACAGTATTTTATCTATGTATGGTTACACTTGCCAGCTATAGAAAACTATTTGAGAAAAGTTAAGATTTCACAAACAGTTCAAGAGGAGAAAACACAGTAACTAACAGATGTCTGCTTAAGACATGTAACTCCTTGAGCTCCAAGAGCAAGTTCTTGGCTAACAAAACCACTCCTTCACCAAAGCTAAAAAAGAGGCACTTCTGTAGTTTATGTTTCACTCTAATAAGAAGCATAGTGAAATGCAATACACTGCTTTCATTTTAATTTATTGTCTGTTGCTCCAGGAGCTGAAAGAAAAGCCAAATAAGTTAAGAGATGTGTGCGTTCAGAATGGGAAAAGCCAACTGACACAGTTTGCAATGCCAGTGTTTAGCTTCACATCTATCCCGTTATCCTTCCCGCTGTTATAAAATGTTCTGTTTTTGGAGCAAGTGGTGATGCAGCACTGATGGACATTTCAACGCCTTCTCTAGCTGTATTACACTTAAGGAAAATCCCAGTGCAACTGCTACATAACTGAATAAAAGTCAATCTCACAGACCCCTATTTCTGCTGCTGGCTGCCCCATCACCACCAGAAAGAGGTCCGAATCGCTAAGGTAGCTCCCACGTTTTCACCTGCAGAGCAGCATTGCCAACGCCAAGCCCCACCAATTACACAGCGTTCGGCTCCTCCTAGCGGAGCAGACTGTCACCGCAATGCTGGCCTCTGAAATCTACAGAGCTCCATGGTGCTCGAATTACAACGTGCAGGAAGTACCTCATAACCTGCAGCTGCCTTCTCTTCAAGAATTCTGATTCTAAAAGCACTTCAGTATTCGGCCATCACACTATTTTGATAAGTCAGAATTAACGGCTACAAAAATCAATTCTTGGATTTGTTTACTTTTCTAATAAACATGTTGGAAAAGAATGATGTGGAGTAGAAATACGCTTTTACTCTTAGACAAGTTCTTTGCTATTTCTAACTGTGAAAGACTGTGACCTTATTTTCAAATAAGAGTTGCCATGTGATGTGAAGATGCACCTTTGCAGAGCAATTGCTTGATGGTTTCTTGGTGAAGGCGTAACCAACAATATTCTCAAGTTTTGTTAAGGAAAGCACTGCTTTCAGAGAACACTGGATCAGCCAAGCACTCAGACTATCATGAGATTATAACCTACTCTGCTAGGAAGGCAAAAAAAAAAAAAGTAGTACTTTCTGGTGCTCTTCAAGACTACTGGCAATTTTATTTACTCAAATTCAGGCTTCTCTTTTCATTATTGTGTTTAACAGCTCAGCTCACATATACAAGTAGCACAACTTTTAGGTACAGTACAGAAAACTGTATGTGCATCGAAATAAACCATAAACACTTGATGTCAACATTTTTCAATGTGACGCTTCTCCAAAACAAACTCACCAGGATGTAAATCAACAAAGATTCTGCTTCTGCATCTTCTCCTTGCAGGAAGAAGAGCTTCTCACGGAGCCCACTTTCCTGATGCTCAAGCACCACAAAGTGTTTTCCTGTCCAACAGCAGGAAACAGTCTTATGAATCAGAAGATCCATGAGAGATTTCAGGACTTTGTATCTTAAAACACAAATGCAGTTTTCAGTGAACTTTCATTCCTTCCAAAGAAGCCAGGCTTTACTGCTAACAGGAAGTCTCAGAAGGAAAACCCAACCCAGACACAGGTTTATGATTACAGCACTACTTACAGCACAAATCTTCCTCGGAACAAACAGCACACCTATGAGAACTCAAACGTTACCTTGAGATCAAGATGAGCTCAAATGTGTGTATATGAAAAAAATACAGAAATATCCAGTGCCACATTCTAGTAATACAGAGAGAACTTGGTTTTGGATAAACCAAATATATTTGATAATTTAAGATTAAAACAATTTTCCATATGTTGATACATATCTTGGGCAAGTTAAAAAAAAAAAAAAAAAAAAAAACAGGTACCTTTACAATACAGGGAGAGAAAGATGAGACTAAATATATTTGACTGCAATTTCTTACAAGAGCAGGTCTCTCAGACAGTAGTTGACTCCACTCAAGTACTCTACATGCAAACCCTCCTTCCTTTAGGTCTGTGCTGCCTACCTACTCTGCTTTCTCTGCCTTCTGCCAAAGTTCAAAGTGCTCAGCTAAGACTTCAGCCTCAGAAGTTCTCACACTGAGGATAAGGAAATGATTTTTTTTTTTTTTTTGTCTTAACCAGTTGTAGCAAACATGACCTTAACAAAAATACAATTCCTATAGCCCCAATTATCTGGAAGAATCTTTACGGTTAAGATTTCAACTTATTGAGAAGACATTTTCTCCAGTTTTGAGGTAGCCTTTCTCTCTGTTTTAAGAGCTCAATCTTACACAAGCTGCAATTATGCTTGCAGACCAGGTTTAATACAGAACTGCCCTCCGCCATCACACTCTTTGGGTTTTGCTTTGTAGCCATTTGTATGTTGATAAATCTAAAGCTAATTAAGGAGATGTGGCCATTAATGCAACTGTTAAATAAGGCAGACAAGTGCCATACAAAAGGAGGACGCGAGTCCTCCTTCTCATCCTTCCTTTTCTCCATGTTTCTACCTGTCACCAAAGCCTGTCCAAGTTTGTTCCTTTGGGTAAAAATAGCTGATCCACAAGAGCAGTGAGCCCAGGAAGGCAGGAGCCATTTAAGACACGTAGAGCCTAAGGCCACTTAATAAGGAAAGGTGCGCCTGCTCTCTGTGCAACAGCAGGAAGCATCATCTGGAACCAGCCAGAGCAATGAAGAAGCAGGTGGGGTTTTACTTATTCTTTCAGCTTCTGGAATAAATCAGCATAGCCTCCCCGTCCTGTGGTCTGGGGAAGTGAGCTCCACTGTCAGAGACTGCAAAGGAAACTAAGGCTTTCTAGCAGTAAAAACAACCCTGCAACCCCTCACCCATCACTCCGAGCACTTCATATCCTTCCACTTGTTCATTGAGAAAGCTCTCACAGAGATGATCTTCCTAATCCTGCTCTCAATACAGGTCTGCAGTTCTGGTAGTACATTCATGATACCACATGGTAACAGGGTCAAGTTTCAATACTGCTGTAAAATCAAAGGCAAAGTTGTCCCTCAGCCCCATCGTGCTATAAGTATTTTACAATGTCTGTTCCTAATTAGCAATTTTAAATGTGTTCTTTTACAGAGCCCACACAAAACTGTAGTGTAATAGGCCAAACGTGCCATCTGCAGAAAATGCAGCATAATTACAAGTTAAGCTGCATTCTGGCACCACGATTTCTTGCTACTGCGGAACTCTATCCAGCCATATAACTTGCAAAGCTCTCAGAAACAAGGTCTACCTTCTGAATATGACTTCTGCTGAATGGCCTCGTACATTCTGTGCGTCAGTTTAGCTTCATATTCAATGCGAGGGTACACACACATTACAGGACAAAAAATTCCAACTATGACTATTCAGTAAATTATGCACTGTAGTGATTAAAACAAGACAAGCCCCAGAAATAATAAACATGCCTGATGTATAAACTACATGGGAAATTCTTCAGTGACATGACAAAGAATTTGTGGTTTCTCCCCCAATTACAAGCAAGCAGAGGATTTGTCAGACATTCATTTTGCAACTTCTACTGTCCAGTCTACGCCTCCTTCCTCTTGATGATCAGAGGCCCAACGTTGTCGCCAGTTTCGTCGTTGTGCTGTGTGTGAGAGCCATCACACAGCGGGAACTGGAAGAGAAAGAATAGACACACATTAAGTGCATATAAAGCACAGTCAGAATTAGGAACCTACACTGAAAGTTCAATGGAACGTCTTCTCATTAAATCTGCTGTGACTGCAGACTTGAACTTTCGCACCGGCATTTCAGGTGACCCTGAATTTTGGCTGTACACTTAGTTCTGCCCATGTGAGCTCAGAGTGGGCAAGAAGCTTGTCAAAAAACAAAGCAACTCGACTCCACTGCATTTGGTATTCCAGCCTCAGGTCAGCAAAGTGAAAATGCAGGTTACAGTTGAAGGTTAACTCAGACTACGTGAAGTTACTTGCTCCCAACCTTGCCCGACACTCTATTTCCTGAGCCACAGCCAGAACTGAGTGCAGTTACAGAAGTTAAGTGGGGAGAGGAAAAGCAAAAGAATTAGATCCTAAGCTTTTTTTCCCCACTCAATTTTCTCAAGTAAAAGGACAGCTTCCCACCTCATCTCTTACTTAAGAGAGACACTGACAGATTAGTCCTGCCACCAGACAGCTAGAGTGGCAAGCCTTCTTTGCTTCATCTGACATAGCCAGCTTGTCTCACTAGTACAAACGTCCATTTGCAAGAGCTGGATTCTACATCAGGATTTTGACCTGACAATGGAAATAAAACACACTTCCTGCTGACATGGTTACTCATCAGGGGCTTATGAGGGTAATACTGAGGAAGTAATTCAAAGAAATGTTTGTTCCATCAACAAAACTGGAACAGCCTGGTCAGAGCAAGACCCAGAGGGACTCCTTTAACCAGCTGTAACTGCCCAGGTCCTGGACTGCTTAAAACAACTCTGCTCCTGGACAGCTCTTTTCATATGCAAGAGCCAAAGGATATTCTGTGAAGGAAAGAGAGTTAGATCAGACCCCACCACTTCTCAAGGATATGTCTTCAGGGCTGCGCCCTTTCTGCAGAGGAAGTTCTAGAGAAAATCACATACATCACACCCGTATTTGTATTCAGTTTCTGTCGTGTTTGCTTTGGAATATTTGGAATCCAAGTTGGGCATTATTAAGCTCGTGCCCTTAGAACAGCGATATTCCCTCACAGTAACCACCAAACCAACTCTGACATTCTGGTGATCCCAATATTCATTGCCCAATCAAAGTCCTTGATTAAAATTGATGCCAAATCACCCATGCTTAAGAGCCTTCCAAGTATCGCATAAAAGCAATATCCCTAAGACAACATACTAGTGAGAAAGAAACATTCTCAGTACTAAAAATAAAGGCCTGCAGGGTAGGGTGGAAGCAGAGGGAGTGGTGAAAGTTTTGTTTTACCACAGTTACAAAATGTCAAAAGCCGTGCTATAAATGGCAGGTCAATTTTCTAAATTAAGAACCCCCAGATTTTGGAGAACAATCACATAGGCCAATTCACACAGGAACTTCATTGTCAAATCAGTTATTAGTGACTCACTGAGTAGGTACTGACAGACACTTGGCAGAAATTATATCCTAATTCATAGGATATTCATCAGCTTCTCACCCAAATGTTCCTGGGCCAGCTGTTTCTCCATACAGCACCACAGTCTATCTGCCTTTGCAGAAGCACCTACTCAGCTTACAGAACACACATCTCACACGCCCCAAAAAGACAGGCCCACGGTCCAGCTGCAGCAATGCCACTTGAAATCTGCAGGTGACAAAGATGGTGGAATTCATAGTCGTTAGCTAGCATCAAAGTATCTTTAACAGCTACCAATTTTGACAGCTTTGCATCCTCTGGGCCAGCTGATCTCCAAGCCGCTAGCTCCCAGAGGATGGAACACCAGGCACAAAAAAGCAAGCTGCATACAACACAGAGAACACCGCATTTTTTTTTAGGGCATCTACTTGGTCATCTTCAAGACTGAAGCTGGGCCTGACGCAGCATGTTTATCCTTGTTTAAGATACAGCAGGCTAGCAACAGCGATCAGAGCTCAAGCCCTGAGGGAACTGTGCAGCGGTCTGGACAGCTCAGTTTATTTCCCTTGACACCAAACAAGTTTGTTTCTTCCGACGCTCTGCAGCAGCTCTCAGCCTGCAGCCTGCAGACTAACAGTGCTCTGGAAGACACACAGATTGCAGATAATTACAAGTAAACCAATTAAGATGCCCCTCCCCCTCTCCTCAATTAAAAAAAGCAGAAGAAAACAGATGCTCTAACTGTAGATGAATTGCTGTCTGGTTTTAAGACAAAACTCTTGCCTCTATACCAATACTTTTTAACAGAGTACTTTTGCATAAAAGTCCAAAAGCAATGCTATGAAGCCCCTGCAAAGCACAATGCTGAATAGGAAAGGGCCATTTAAAAAAAGCCACCTACCACCCACTTTGATAGGCTACTACAACCCAAAGCAGACTTATCTGAAGGTACCCTGTTTCCAATAAATAAATGCTTCCCACAAAGGATCAAGTAAGAAAACCCACACAACTGAGGATTAACTTCTTTTTTTTAAGCTTCCCAAAAACACTCTCCTCATGCAGTCCACCTGTTTCTTCCCAGTACGAAGCCAGCTGGAGTGCACACACACCATCAGCAACTGAAATAACCTGTGGTGCATAATGGTTAATAGGTTCTATTAACAGACTCGTGCCTCAGATCAGGCTTAGTCTGCTGAGACAAGCTTACACAGTCAAATAATGCACATTCTAAGAACAGACTCATTATATCATATCCCTCATTTACTTCCTTTTAGCATGAGATTACAGCAGCCTCTGCAGGGCAGTATGTTCCTGAGCTACAACACCCTTCAATGCATGGCAAAATACACTCAATCAGATTCTGATTTCACACAAAAAAAGACAGTATCAGACAATAGCTAGAATAACGGCAAGAGCTGCAACGCAAACCCTACATCCAGACATCCCTTCTATTTTCTAGAGGAGGAGGCAGTTAAGTATAAATACCATGCATCAAGTTACAATTTCTTTTATCACAATGTATGGGAACTACCGAGTCACGGCCTGAACCTCTGATTGATCACCTGAGGCGAGCCATGAGTCAGCCAGAGGAGAACAGGTGAAGGCAATTCACCTGTGCTGCTCTTAGACCCATTTAAGAGCTGGCTACCAGTGGGGAAGGATCTTGTCTGGAGATCCCTCCTTCTGGTGTTTTGTGGTGAGCCCAGCATAAGGGTAAGCCTTCCATTTATTCTCTCTTGTTATCATAGTCCACTTCACCTAATTCTCTTGTTTATATTGTGATTGTAACATCTTGATATCCATTGATTATACACACAAGTACTGAACTCCAGTTCAGATGCTACCAATTCCAAATACTTAGCGCAGCTTTTTTTCTCCACCTTTCTCTTTTCTGAAGCTGTAGCATTCAGAGCAACTTCTACTTCTGGCTCTCAGTTGAGATTTAACCCACACATTAGCACCTCGACTTCAAAACAGCTTTTAAATGCATGCTAGTTGTAAACAGACTACTCACTCCACTTTCTCTCATTACAGAACCCAGAACTAGCACTATCCATGTATTAAGTCGATCTCAATAGCATCAAAGGTCTCTCATCTAACTCAGATTTAAAGCTGATCTTAACAGCATTTCTGAAAGGTTAGGTATCATGCTTAACACTGACGTTAAGCAACTGAGGCATCTTCATATGCAACCAAATTGGACAAACCCACATCTAGGTCAGACATTTAATTTTCTAAGTGTGCTAGCATGGTTTCACTGGCTATTCTGTAAGATTAACCACAAAACTATGGGTTGCAAAGACAAATGCTTTAAGTTCATCCGTTTAGATTCTTCAAAAACTTTTGGATTTGCTTTTGGATTACCTCCACCACCACTGGAAACAAACCTGCTGCTGTACTCATTAATGTGGCAAAAGGCATTGCACACAGCAATAAATGCAGGACAGCACCATGTGCACAAGCAAGGTTCTTCCAAAACCAATTCTGTATTCTCCCCATCCACGTGATTTAGTGGTGAGCTCAAGCATGTCAAGCAACCATTTGACACCAGCTCTGGTATACTAAGAGACTTCTTAATGTCTTGCTTTTCCCTATGCAAACTAGTAGCAAGACATCTTCGGACTGACAAAGTAAGCTTCCAGCTTCACAGAATGGCCAGGGTTGGAAGGGACCTCAAGGATCATTAACCTCCAACCCCCCCACCACATGCAGGGCCACCAACCGCCCCATTTAATATTAGACCAGGCTGCCCAGGGCCCCATCCAACCTGGCCCTCAGGCTATGGTTCCTGGGTTCTCCTTCATCTACCGAAAGACCAAGAATTTTGGATAAACTTCAGTGGCAAAATAATATCTGATATTTATGATTGATTAGTCTGAAGAGTAGCTGTACTCTTCAGTGAAACTGCTGCTTCACAGCCACGGAAACATTGTTTTCACTATTAGTGCTGATCTGAAGGTTTCATTCTCCATAAATCTACATAGCTTCAAGGACTGAATTATTGCTACATCTCACTGCAGAATGTGAGCCAATGTGAAAAGAAGCTAGTTTCTGCTAAATGAAGCAGTAAAATGGTTTTACTGAAAAATGAATAAGTTTCCCAGTGCTATTGATGTGCATGTTTATCTTACCTTCTTAGATCTCCAGCAACGACAGTACACAGCCTTGTCTCCCAGATCTTCCATATCAAATGCATGAACTACCTTGGGGTTATCCTTCTGGATATGGAGATTCACCATTGCCTTGCAGCATTTGTCTTTAGAGATAAATTTTTTGTAAGCTAGATACCCAACAGCAGCTGCTCCAGCAGCTAAAGAGACTGCAGCAATCCATTCAACTAGAACAAAAAGAAGAAAAAAGACTCAGTTTGCTGACCACAATATTCTATTAAAACTCCTCCCAACAGCGAATGTCTCCATGCTCAAGACAACACCTCTAACATTCAAAGAGATCTTTCTGTTCTCCAGGCAAAACACAGCATTTTTTATTTTGACACACACTGAGTTAATCTGCTCTTTTCCACTGACCAGAGCGCTCTCTCACCTCAGTCCCTTCTACATAACAGCGAGGATTAAAGTGGCTGGATTGTTTGTTTAGTTTTTGATTGGTTGGTTTTTAACTTTTTCTTCATCAACCTGTGATATCAACACTGGAAAGTACAGTGTTTCCAAGCTCAGTTTCTTTGGCTTAAACTGTAAGCCAAAAAAACCTGTTTATTGTTTCAGTTCTAAGAAGGTCACTAAAGACAAACACACAGCATCAGCAACCCAAACAGACCCCTCCAGAGTACAGGTACTGAGTAAATTTTTTATATAATGCATGCTGCAACTAAAAGAGCTTAACAGGTGTTTGGCAATGGGGAAATTATTTAATTTACTAGCACTCCACAAGGGTAAGAAAAAATCAGCTTAGATTAAAAGTCTGCTGTGGTGGTATGGAAAAGTACATGGATCCAGAAGAATTATATTTAACGGCACAAATTTAACCATGTTAGGTCCTGGCTCTACGAAAGACAGTTGCCATTAAAACCACCACTACCTCCCACCTGCACTTTTTTTACCCCTCTTGGAATCTCTGATAACTCTGAGGTTTTGCTCAATTGTTATCATTTCCTTTTGTACAAGGACCTTCCCTACTTTTTGTGGCCTCATGCCAGTATCCTGGACTTTGGCCCAACAGTTCTGGCTACCCTAACAGCACCTGCTTTTTTTTTTTTTTTTTTTTTTTGCTTTTTATCCACCACTTCTGTGTGCATGTGTGTTCCTGACATGTATAAAAAGAGTCCAGTTGACTCCATAGACAAAAACATGAGACAGGAATTTAAGTTTTAGCACATTTACACAGCTTAAGAAAACTAGAACAGTCTTCTGCTGGGAATTTCTCTTTTACCCCCCAAAGCCCATACTGCATTAGAAAGATACCAAGCCAGAAGGTCTCACCGGAGCAAGAGACACTACAGCATTGGATCTAGGATAAGGAATCAAAAGCATCTGTCAGCTCTCGCTGCTTTCCAAGGGCAGCTCACCATACTGACACACAAGGGTCTGGATGTAACACTAAGCGCAATCAGTCAAACGCCTGTGTTATGAAAGCAGCCCTGTAAGACTTGGGAAAGGGGACAGGCAACTTCGCTAAGCGTCTCACTAGGACAGAACGAGATACAGAAATCTTCTGAAGTTCATTCTCTTCGTAAGCAGAGCTTAGTAGCAGAGCAGTGCCACGCAGGACAGGAGGCACCCAGCGGCACTGCTCCCCTCACGCACGGCTAACCGCCCGCCGCCCCGCGCCGTTAGGCGGCAGCCCGCGCCTCAGCCGCCAGGCGGAGCCCCGCCCGCCGCTCCCAGCACATCCCGCAGCGCAGAGCAGGCCGCTGCTCCTTCACCGATGCATAAAAGCCACACGAATTGATACCCACGAACCCTCAGAGCCACACCCTGCTCCCACAAACACGACGGTCGTTCACGGAGCCCCCCGCGCCTCGACCCGCGGACCCCTCCCCTTACAGCCAACCCCCCAGGGGACCCCGCCGCCATTTTGTCGGCTGAGCTCTAACGGGCAGGGCGCCACCCTCTCCTGTCCCACGCAGCCCCTCAGCCCCGCGCGCGCCCGTACCCACCCCGCACGGCGCCATTCTGCCCCAGCCCCATCGCTCCCGCTCCGCAGAGGACGCACGCAGTTCCGCAGCGCGCATGCGCCGCGCCGCGCCCCTTTTGAATGCTTTACGCCCTGAAAGGCACGAGGGGAGGAGCGACGAAGGCTCGCGGAAGCCGCAGGCGTCAAGGCTGACGAGCGGGCGGCTGAGGCGAACACCTCCAGGCCGCAAGGGGGCAGCGGTCGCCGTGCAGTCGCTCTGTTCACCGCCCACGCTACCCAGCGTGCCCCGCGAAAAGCGGACACAAAGAGCCCGGCGCCCCTCCCCGCGCTGTTATTTCCCGTTCCGTCGGTGCGTGCGGATGCCGTTAGTTGCCCGCCCCGCCCCCCGCCGCGCTCCTCGCTGCTGTCGCCTTGCGCTCCCATGGCGCTGAAACGGATACAGAAAGTGAGCGGGGCTGAGGGAGGCTGCCGAGCTGTGCTGCTGCTGGGAGGACGATTATGCGGTTGTCTCCGGGTGGAGGGGTGGGCTGGGTTTGTCGGAGTGCCGTGGCCCCTCTTCTTGCTCTGAGGGGAGTGGGCGGAGGGGGGAGGGATATTGCGGCCACAGGGCTCCTACCCATACGCCGTTGTATCGCGACAGATGGCAGCAGAGGGGCGGCCTTACGACATGGGGTCAGTCATGGGAAGGCTCGTGAGGCGAAGGTGTGTCTCTGAGTTTTTCCATGCGGATAAAATGGCACCCGTTGGCGTTCAGCGATGCTTGCTGAACTTTTACTGAGCCCAGCGGCGTGAGAGCACGGTGCGGCTGTGCGGGCGTACAGGAGCACAGCACGCAGCCTGCTGGTCATCGCTGCCTCAGGTACAAAGCTGGTGGGTGAGCTTGTGGAAAAAACAGTGTTTCGTAGCTGAGAACGTGCTCTATCAAAGAGCGTCTTTGTGCTTCTTGTGTCTGTAGTAGTTTCTGTGGAATTAATAGGAGGCGTTACTTTCGGAGCAACCACGGTGTCAATGACTGTTTTTTTTTTTTCCTAGCGGTAAGCTCTGTTGTGCCCCTGTGTGACTTGGGAATGCTTGGCGTTTTCTCAGCTTTTTATTTTCTCACTTTTTCTTCAAGAACTTCTCTAGTTATGTGTTTGGAAAGGGGGATTGTTCTGAATACCTGCTTATTTTTGTTCTGTCAGGATGAGCAGACAAAGCAAATCTTCCAAATAAGACCTTCATACCGTGGGGTTATTTGCTGTATTTTTCTTACACTTTGCCTGTGTAGATTTTCTTTCTGCTTTAATCACCTCCATTTGTACTGGAAAGCCACAACTTTCTTTAGTGTGATGTTTACAAGCTCTGTATTCAACAGCTGTAAAATTTACCCTTGGGAGAGAGCGTTTCATGTCCTGTTAATCTTTCTGCATTGCTTTTCTGTTCTTTGAAAGTGAAGAAGTGCTGACTTCAAGGTTGTGTAAGATTTCCTGGTTATGCAATTGCTTTCATCTGAAATGTGGAGTGGTATTGGAGAAGGAGCTACTGAAAGAGTTGAGCTTAGATCCAAACCTAGCTGCTTCTTGCTTCTAGTTTGCTGCAGGAACGACTACTTCTGGGTTACTTCTCAATGACTCTTCATCACTGTCTGCTGTTATTCCAGGAAGAATAAAAACCAGTGCTGAACTAATTTGCCAGCAGCCTGACTCCAGAGCAGTTTTGTAAGAAGTCACTTGCTGTGGAAAAGTAAAGTGGCAAAGAAATAGGATTGTTTCCAATGGAAAGTTGTAGTGAGGAGAAAAAAGATAGAAAAGATCAAGTATCTTCATGTCACTGTTGCACATAGAGCAGTCCTAAAAATGGTGGAACTGGGAAAAACTCATACTAGATTAAATGTATTTGTATGACAGTTTGCTGGTCCCTGCTGGTTCCTGGGGGAACTCTGTTGAGTACTAAGTGCTGTCAGCACAGTGATAACGCTTGGGAACTTTTTAGTCCAGACATATAATCTTAACCAAGGTTGGGTAGTTTGAGGGTGGTTCATAACTGTGCTTTAACACAGCTGAGGGGCTTTGGGTGCAAGCCTGAGTGTTGGCAGTGTGGTAGTTTGCCTTGTCAGAATGATAGCGCCTATGGAGGAAGCACAACTGCAGGGCACAAGTGTCTGTCCTTGCTTTGCACACCGGGGACTGACTGGGATTTGGGACTGATATTTAAACAGTACTGCTCCTGTGGCCTGTGTTGTTTTGTGCCTTCTTTCACTGGTTTGCTTTGAGGGACTCCATAAAGGACCCCTGTGGACTTGAGGGCTGTACAGCAATAATGGAAGGCTGTGAAAGAACAACCCGCTGCTTGGTGGATGTTAGCAATTGTGTAAAAGAAAACCAATACTGTAGGTTTTAGTTGGGAGGTATATTTTTCAAATGAGTCCTTATGGTTACTGCCTCTGCAAAATGGATACAATGCCATTTTTGTGCTGAGGAGGAGATCATTCAGGCTGCTGGGTTATGTAAGTTGTATAGGTCAGCTCTGCTTATTGGACCTGTATGGAAGCATTTCTCATGATTCCTGCTCTGAGTTCTCTCTTTACTTACCTAGTTGTGAGTTTGTTATCCTGTCAGTTCTGTGTTACAGCTGGTGGGATGGTTTTCATCCTATGCCCTGTAACTCTGGATGCCCCTCTACTATTAATGAAAAGCTGATTTTTTTTTTTCCTGTGCTTAATCAAATTGTGAACTGCTTACAAAACCTGTATTCACTTGCTCTTGTTACCAGCATTAAAAAATTGGGCTTCTTCAGTTAGAGATTTTGAAAGCAGCAACATCTCCTCTGACACATTTGAAGACTGGTTTGAAAATAGCTGCTGTTTTTCGTCTTGTCAGCATAGTGCTTGATTGTTTTTCTCCTGCCACTCAGTAAGAATGGAGGCGTTCCAACATTCAGATATGCTGTTGAACTGAAAGTCTGTTTGTTTCAGTATGTGTTTCGTATGCATAGATGGACAGGACATGCCAGCTTACATCTTTATGTTGAAACTAACTTGGGTTCTGCCCACGAACTGTTGAGCTGCGTGCTTTCTTCGGGTGGTAATAAACACACTAAGGAAACTTTTGAATCCTTAATATGAAATGTTTCCATTTGTTTCCAAAACATCACTTGTGACATCAGAGAATAGATTTTGCCTTACACAGTGTGTAAAAATAGGTTAACTCCTTTGTTACTGGAACGAAGCTTGAAGGATGTTGTGATTAAATATTTGTTTTGTGTTCACTGAACTTAGAAAGAAAAGAGACTCCTTTAACTTCTGTACAATCTGGGCTTTAGTTGCTTTTCTTCTGATAATTCCAGTCACTATTAATACAGGAGCAGAGGTGGATGTATGCTCTTAGTAGGAAGTGCAGTGCATTTTATGCAAGAGATGAGGAACATAGTTGAGAAACTGAAAAACCTCTGTTTTAAATAATGGTGTGGGAAAAGGCTCTGGATGTGGTTTCATGTAGCTTAAAGAATTAAAATAGCTTTTGGTGATGCTGCTCACAGTCTATTTCTGTCTCCTGATAGCCTGCAGGCTTGTTTAGCAGTAAAAATGAGGCATATTTTTAGGACTCTCTTATTAGTACCCCTGCTTCCTGAGTATCCATAAGTACTGTGCTTAATATGTCCATCTCTCTGTTGTCAAAGTATCTTTTCCAATCTCATTCCAGTGGCTTTGGAGGAGCCAATATCTAACTGTATTTAATGAGGCACACAACTGCTTGAGCAGCTGCTGTCTTCACCAGCTTTACAATTCTGAAGTGCATTCTGTAATACACTTCAGCAGTGAGCCCTTGTCTGTACATTCAGATGTACTTCCACCTTTTACAATTTAACATAGTTTTATGTCAGTTCAACTTGACTTATAATTTTTTGTCTCACCTTGTCCACAGATCTACTACAGTGTGTGTGGTATGATGAATAAAAGATGTTCATTTGGAGGCTTTGCTGCGTCCCTTTTCAGTAGCTGATGGTTAACATCTCTATCATTGTGCGGCTGTTCCCTCATTAGCAGCCCTGGTGCTGGATCCTGCTTACTTTCAGGTTCTGTAGTTTGGAACAGGAGAAATAGTTTGTTGCACTTGCTAATTGCAGCCAGTTTGTGGCATAGAATTAGCGATATTTTATTCTGCTCAGTAATTTTTTCAGTGCTTGAGAGGATTAGAAGACTTATTGCCAGCAGTGTTCTCAGCTTAGTTGTCTTCTCTATCCAAGTTGATTATGGCTCTACTGGGATAAAGCACGGCGTGCTGGTTTTAATGGACATTCACTGCTGAAATTGTGTTGCTTTTGTGTACTCACACAGAAGATGTTGCTGTGTTGTGTGCTGTAATTCATGGTGTTGAGTTTGCCTTATAAAAGTGGGATCTGTGAAGCTATGAGTTACAGCTCCTGTTTTTAGCATGCATACATCCAAGTCTTGAACCAGCATTTTCTATATCACTGACTTAAAAATATGGGTGTAGTTGAAGCCTCGGGGCAACCAGATTTTATGTAAATAATGAAACATCTCATGATTCTATGGAGCCATCACAGCTGTTCTGGAGTTCAGCTCTGGACACTGGTGAATTGCTCTGACTTGCAAGGAGGCAGTCAGAATTTCTCTCCCCAGCATTTCAAAAAATATATGAAAGCTTGAAGCCTACCCAAGTTGTACAGCTCTCCAGATGATTTGGAGTGCAAAGCTTCAGCAGCATAATTAACAGTACAGCACAGAATAGTTCTTTGACTCTTATCTCTACTTGATCTGAGCTGCTTTATGCAAAGTCTCAAACTGCTATGCTGTCAAGTTTAATTTAGTAAGTTTGATCACATTTGTATTCCTAAGGCACATTAGTGTCGGTTTGTCATTTTTTGAATGGAGAATGTGGCGTGAGTTTGGACTGGCTGTTTTTTTTTTTTTTTAAGGTATAAAATCTTTCTTCGTGTCTGAACATGGCTTGTGCTTAACATGTTAGGCTGAAGAGAGATTTTCTTCCTCCCAGTTGGGAAGTAACAGGATTGCATTGATCTAGGTCTCGTCAAGCTGTGATTAAAAACATGTTTTTATTGTGATATCAGTGTCTTCAGCCTGAAGAAGCTGGAAGCGTACACCTTTCTAGTTCCTAGCAGTTTGG